CTGTCTAATATCAATCTGTCAGGAGATAGTGACAGAATGAAAAAATATGTAAAAAATACATTTTTAGAAAAGTTACATACTGCACCTTTAATAATAATAATCATTAAAATTTTGCCTTTTATTGCTTTCGAGTCTTTTAAAAATTGTGTTTAATTCGGATTAAAGGGATTTAATCCCTGATAAACTGCAAAGATTAAAACTTGTGATTTATTTATTTTGCTGTCTTGTTTGATTTAAAGGTGAAGAACTGACTCCTGTCCTTTTCTTTCATCACTTCTCCTCCAACACACCCATCACCCGCCAACAACTGGCAGAGGCAGCTGGTGTTTTAGTCCATGTTTGTGTTTGTTAGCAAAATATCTCAAGACCCAGTGGTCAGTTGTTAGTGATTCATTTCTGGAGTTGATCAGATTAGAAGATTTCTGCAGAGGTTTAATAAAAACAGTTCACTTTCAGACAGAAACCGTGGAGGACATATTTAAAAATAAAAACAGAAACATATAAATGGACCAATAAATAAACAAATACACTGAAAATGCACCAAGTAATTTCAAAAATGAGAACTTTACCTCATGTTTTATGATTTCATACCTTCATATTTATTTTTCCAGCTTAGTTCAAATAAATTATATATTTTAGCGCATAATTTACATTTTACTGTTTTTAAAATATCTATTTTTTTGTTTTTGTTTTTACTTCTACATGCATTTGTGTCTCTTAAATGATTATATTTATTTATTTATTTATTTGTTTATTCATTCATTTATTTATTTATTTTCCCCCACAAGTCTTATTAAATTCAGCACTTTAAATTCAGTTTCAGTTTAGTGAAATTCATTTTCAAAATTATGTACAAACAGGTTCAATCTGAGCAATAAACTCAGTTTCTGTTGGCACAACTTCCATAATAATTAATGTCTAACTAATGTGTGTAAAATAATTTGTTTAAAAAACTAAAATATGAATTCTTTGTAAATGAATGTTTAATTTGAACTCATGAACATTTAATAGTTTTACAGTGTACTACTCAGATTAAAAAATAAATAAATAAATACATCATTTAAAAGAGTATGAACAACAAATTATTTTGTTCCATAAACAGGTCAATAAAACATTCAAACTTTAATGTAAAACGAACAGTGAATTGTTTAAATTTGTTTAAATCTGCAGGTTTCTGTTCAGTTCTGGCTGCTGTTGCCCTTCCCAAGATGGCGGACTCGCTGCACCACACGGCGCATGCGCAGGAGCACAGAACCTCTGAAATCTTTGAAAACGTACTGATGCGAAGTAAATATCGTTTAAATATAGTATAATATTTTAGTACAATATTAATATATTTAAATATCATCGACGGTGAGGACCGGACAGACCCGCGCTTCTCCCGCCGCAGACAGGGAGGGGGGACAGAGTTCGATACAACACCCCGAACCAACCCGGTTCCGAAGGAGCGGAGAGCAGCGGGACGAAAGCCCAGATGGAGGAGATTAAAGCGGCTGCAGCCAGCCCGTCTTCAGCTCACGATCGGACTCGGTTTATATAAGAAGTGATGGAGCCCCTCAGACCCACACAGCTGCATGCTAACCCTGCTAACCGTATGTAGCCGAGCTGAGCTCGTCTGTTTTTTACGGTTAATCTGATGTTTCTGTTTTAGATACACGATGTGAAATGATTTGTGACGTCATCTCTAATCTTTCCTGCTCCCAGTTAGTGCTAATGTGTTGTTAGCATCGTAAGCTATGAAGCTGTAGCTCCAGAACGTAAAGCTCAGAAGATGTTACGCAAACAGCGTACGCTAAAAGTTCAGCGTAGTTTCTTTTACGGAACTGAATGAAGACTGAGAAAACTCAGGTTTATACAGAGTTGTAAAGTAACTATGTACAAATACTTTGTTACTGCATTTAAGTAGAATTAATGTGTATCTGTACTTTATTTGAGTAATTATTTTTCAGTGTACTTTTTACTTCTTACATTTTTAAATAAGACAATAAGTATAAAGTTGTTACTTTTATTTCATTTTTTCTTGTTTTCATTCCAGTTTGTTCTTGTAAAAAATAAAAACTATCCATATAAACTGAGCCTCCTAGATAGAGTGAATTTAAAGGAGACATATCATGCTAAATGCACTCTTTTTTGCGTTTATGAACTATTTTCTACACTTCTCATTCAACTGTGGTTGAATGAGAAGTATAAATATATAAAACTCTGATAGTGTATTAGTTTGTACACAAACAAATCATGTCACACTCCAGCAGGACAGAATCATTCAAATAAAAGGACTGTACTTAAGAAGTATTTGTATTTCATGAATTATATTCTTACATTTGGCCGCAGCCCTCAGATAGATTTTCATTTTGGGGAAAAGCTTTGTGCAGCCTTGATATATGTATATAAACTGAAACAGCTGGACTAGTGCATCCTAAATTTAACATCCATTCATTCTTTTAATACAACAGTCATTTCTGCAGTTTTTGGGGAGGTCACCTCCTAATAAATGTCCTTACAGAAAATCTAACTGCTCGTTTTAAATCTACACTTTGACTTTTAATACTTAACTACAACAAATATCACATACTTTAAAACTTTTACTCAAGTATCACTGTGTGGTACTTTATACTGCACTGAATTTATTAACACTTAAACCATAAACTTATAACAGAGTGAAGAGTTCACATTAACATTTAAACATTTAGCAGCAGAGAAAGAAAAACAACAAAACCAACAAGTCAGGTGGTGGTGAGCACAAAGACCACCTGCTGGACAGACCCTCTCAGCTGAGACGAGTTCATGAAAGTGTTTTTTTTTACTTTATAACTAAATCATGTTTCTGTCTGTGCAGATCTCCCACAGCTACATGTGTGTAAAACAGAGGAGGAACCAGAACCTCCACAGGTTAAAGAACCAGAACCTCCACAGGTTAAAGAAGAACCAGAACCTCCACAGGTTGAAGAAGAACCAGAACCTCCACAGGTTAAAGAACCAGAGGAACCAGAACCTCCACAGGTTAAAGAACCAGAACCTCCACATGTTAAAGAACCAGAACCTTCACATGTTAAAGAAGAACCAGAACCTCCACATGTGAAGGAGGAGCTGGAGGATGATGTCATCAGTCAGGATGAAGGTACGTCCGGTCCTGGATGTCGGACACATGAGTTCTTCAGGTTTACTGGTATTTATTTGCACATATCTGCAGACAACCGTGCTGTGAGAACTGCATAAATAACATAAAATATTAACTTACATACAGAAAGGCATTCTGACTGAATAAACAACAAAATAAACCATTTTAGAACACAAAGAGCTTTACAACTTAATTTCTAAAACACAAACAACTGTTATCTTTATAGATACATTTATCAGCACAAAAAAAACTCAGTAAAACAGCGATTAGCAACTTAACATCATAACAATGTCAAAGAAAAGGAGTTTCATTCGTCATTGTCTGCATTTAAACACGTCTCTGGTTGAACAGTGTTGTTATATTGTTCTCTTCAAACCACCGCTCTGCTTCTCTCTCCCTCCTGGGAAACCACACTGTTGTTTACTTATCTTTTGTTCTAATAAAGTTTGGAGGGAAAAAAACACACACACACACTGCCCCCACCAGAGCAGCGTGTAACAACAAAACAGAACGGACTTAAACAACAAAACAAAACTTTGGTTCCGCCCTGGGAATATTAAATAAACCCTTAAAAAAAATCAAAGTTTTATATTATTCACATGAATTATGTGTTTAACTTCAACAACAATGTCCTTTCTTTCTTTGTACTCAAAATGTAGTTAACTTAAAAATGCATAACTGCCACTGATGGCAGCTACGCTGGAGGTCCGGTCTGGTCTTTGAGTCCAAATAAATTATAAATAAAAACAAGACCGTTGTCTTCTTACCTTTAATTTAAACATGGCTTCTGTTAGTGCCAATTATTACATTTAATTATTTATGTTCGATGTTTTCCTGAAATATTTTTGTCTCCAGACTTCTTTCTGCACGTCATCTGCAAAGATGAGGACTTCCTGACAGATCAGCAGCTCGTTAAACAGGAGAGCTGCTCCAGTCTGGACCAGGAACCAGAACCTCCGCACACGAAAGAGGAAGAAGAGGATCGCTGCATCAGTCAGGATGAAGAGCAGTTTGAAGTGAAGCAGGAGACCAGGACCTTCATGATGACTCCTGTTACCGAGGAAAGCGAGCAGAGGGAACCAGAACAAATGGGCCAGGATCTCTTGTCTGAGAGCAGAATCCTCAGCAGTGAAACCGACGTGTCTCCTGCCTCAGAGAGTCGGAGCAACACTGACACGCCTCAAACTGAATATTCCTGTCATGTTTGTGGAAAAGGTTTCAAAAACAAGTATTACTTACCGATCCATGTGAGAATTCATACAGGTGAGAAACCATTTACTTGTGAACTGTGTGAGAAAAGATTTCTGTGCTCGTCTGCTTTACATAAACACTACAACACTCACACAGACGTGAAGCCGTTCTCCTGTAAAGATTGTGGGAAAAGTTTCAGGACGAAACAAAAAGCAACGGATCATCTGCGAACCCACACAGGGGAAAGGCCATATGTTTGTGAGACTTGTGGGAAAAGTTTCAGCACCAGTTACAAATTATTAGTTCACACAAGAAACCACACAGGTGAAAATATGCATTTTTGCACAACTTGCGGGAAACATTTCTCTGAAAAGGGGAAGTTAACAAATCACATAAGAACTCATACTGGTGAGAAACCATATTCTTGTACAACATGTGAGAAGTGTTTCTCTGAACAGGCAAAACTGACCAATCACATGAGAATTCATACGGGTGAGAAACCGTATTCTTGTGAAATTTGCGGAAAACGCTTCTCTCTAAGTGGAAACATGACCATTCATATGAGAACTCATACAGGTGAAAGACCATTTTCCTGTGAAACCTGTGGGAAAAGTTTCAGTGTCAAAATCCACTTATCTGACCACATGACAACCCACACCCTTGAGAAACCCTTTTCTTGTGAAATATGTGGGAGATGCTTCAGCCGTCGTCATAGATTAAAAGTTCACCAAAAAATCCACACAGGTGAGAAGCCGTTTTCTTGTGAGCAGTGTGAGAAAAGTTTCAGATACAAGCGTAATTTATTTGTTCATATGAAAAACCACACAGGAGAAACAACACTGCATTCTTGTGTAAAATGTGGAAAACGTTTCAAGCACAAAACAAACTTGTCACGCCACATGATATCTCATGGTGATAAGAAGCCATATTCCTGTGAGATCTGTGGGATATCCATCAGTCATCTTCACAGTTTAAAAGCTCACATGAGAACTCACACAGGCGAGAAGCCGTATTCTTGTCAAACCTGTGGGATGTGTTTCAGCCATCGTTCCAGCTTACAAATTCACACAAGAACTCACACAGGAGAAAGACCATATTCTTGTGAAAGCTGTGGAAAAAGTTTCATTGATAAATCAACATTGTCTCGTCACGTGACGACCCACACAGACAAGCTGAAGACTTCCTGCTGAACAGGACGTGTTTCTGGGACTTTGTCCACGAGGACTTTTAGCTTCTTCCCCTGAATAAAACAGTTCAGCTCGGCTAAAACAACTGAACGCTGCTACTTCCACACTGATTTTTAGTTCAATGTATTTAAAATAACAGTTGTACTTTTTTGTGTTTGCTAAGGTCAGTTACCTGTGGCAGCCATCTTGGAGTTGCCTCTTGAAGGTAATGAGTTGTAGATATTTTTCCTGTACTGGAACACTAACTGACTGAGTTAGACTCAATATGCCACCCCCTCTGATCACGAGTCTGTTGTGTCTGTTTTTATTTTCTATTATTTCCATATTATTATTTATTATTTCTATTATTGTTATTATATTATTATTATTCTATAGTCTATTTATTTTCTATTATTATTGCTACAGTTGATATTGTCACATAGCAATGTACTGTTTTGTGGATTGATGTATGTATCTGCTGCTGCTGTTACCCTAGGGCTGGGTGGTATGACCTCAAATTCCTATCAGGGTATAAATTGAATCCCTTCATGGTAACTGTATATATCGTGGTAGAAAATTATTATAAAAAGCAAAGATAATGTAATTTTTAGAGCATTTATTCATCAGAAAACTGTAATCATAATCAAACCCAGTATAAACGAACATAACAGAAGTACAAAAGAATATTTTATATATATTGTAAAACGGTTTCAACGACAAACAAAAATATTTCTCAAATGTTCAACAATATGAAAATAAAGTGGATGTTATAACCAGAACTTCAGGTAAAATTAGTCATTTAGACTTAAAAACATTTTAAATTATTTAAAATGTTAGTGTGACAGGACCTTCAGCTGCACAGAGTCCTGTTATAAAACTGTTTCACATAACTGGAATATAAGTGTGGTGAAGCCAAATAAATGTAATATCTGCCTGCCATACAATGAGCTTCTGCCTGCTGCTCTCATCTTCATCGTCTTCATCATCAGAGCAGAACTGTTACATTAACAAGATGATTTATGACTGAACAAACGTCCACATCTTTTATCATCTCTGTGGGCAACAACACATAAAAACAAGGTTTTCTACAACAACTTGTGTGTAAAAACTAGAGTTGTTAAAGTTTCACTGTGTGTGACGTGCAGCAGGAGGGAGGAAGTCATCCTGTGACACAACGTAACTTTTCTACAGCAGCAGGCAAATGTTGAGGATTTATTCTCTCAATACGTGTTTTAAAACTATAATTTCTTCATTATATTTTAATTATATTTTAAACCTCCTGCTCAGGTGTGTGTGCACTCACAGCCCTGCTCACACAGGTGTGATGATGTCACTGATGACAGGACAGTAGAGGGTAAATTTCTACCATAGACCAACTTCATATAGTTTCTACCATCTATCACACGTACTGCACAGCCCTATGTTACACCTGAAGTTCCCCGCTGTGGGAGAATAAAGGTTGTTTCTATTCTATTCTATTGTAGCTGTGCAGGACTGGAGGCTGAGGGGTTTTATTCTCTGAGCTGTGTGTAAATGTAGGCGTGTACACACAGCTGTAGTTCTCACTTCATGAACTGTCAGTTTTACTTTTGATTCTGCTTTTCATGTAAAGTTAAAAAAAGTTTATTTATTCATCAAAGTGTGAACTCTGTTTTTAACAGATTTTCTTTATGGTTTGACGTACAGATGTTTATGTCTGCAGGAAACTTCACTAACAGATGTTTGCTTCAGGTTCTGATGAAAACCAGAACCTTTTCTTCACTTCTTGTCGGGTTTTGTTTTTATGAGAACTTTCTGATTGAGACTGAAGCGGTGTGAAGGTTTGATGTGGAGATAAATATCTGCCACACCGAGGAAAACAAATAAAACCTGGAAACAACATGAGCTGTGAGTTTATTCTTTTATTCTCATATTACAGTTTTTCAGTTTTGCTAAACCACATTTCTTGAAAGCCTCCATCCATTTCTCTAAACTGTAAACACAAAACCCAGTTCTCACTTTCACAGAACCTCTGACTAAAACCAAACTACAGCCTCAAAATACTTTAAACTTTGTTCAAAACCAAACAAAGTTGTTAAATCAGACCTGGAAGAAATGAAAACAACAAAGTACAGAGCAGTCAGTTCACACAGGGAAAAACAAACTAAGATCATGAAGCTTGTTAAATAATCTTTATTGTCCACAAAGTAAAAGACATTTCCTAAACTAAACACCAGTTTAGCACTTAGTAAAAAAATCAAACATTATAAACTTGTATCTGTTTTCTTCACTTCATTTCAAAGTCAGGTCCTCAGAGCTCTGGACTTTCAGGTTCTGTTCAGAGATCTCTGAGGTTCCTGGGATCTCTTCAAGTCACTCCTCTAGTTTGGGGGTCCCAGCACCAAGTGTTCCAGTGACCACTGGGACTACTGGTGCTTTGAGTCCATAACTTCTTTATTTCCTCCTGGTTTTCATCTTCTTCCTGGTGTTTCAGTCACTGATGATCTCCACATCTATCACTGCTGCCTTCTTCTCATGGTTGTGGACCACCATGTCCAGCTGGTCAGTCTGGATCAGGATGTCCCAGTATCTGAGGTGGTGACTCTCACTGTGACTGTGGGACCTCCAGTCTATGAGTGTGTAAACCAGTGGTTCCCAAACTTTTTATCTTCTGACCCACAAAATATCCATGACAAAAACTTGTGACCCCAAATATTACTGGTCTGAGTACATGAACTTCATTTATAACCCTAAAAACACAGGCTTTTTGACAATCTAAACAGTTTATACAC